TGGTCGAGGAAAGCGTCGCAACCGTGGTTCGATGGCTGTTTTTGTAGTTCATGCAGGTTTTTACAGAAGAGTTAAGGGCAAAACTAAAGCGTTTCTAACCTCACTTACAAGCTTTCAGGAGTTGCATCTCATGTGAGTTTGAGTTATTGCATTTGTTGTCTCGTTTAACAGCGGGCATAATTATTTGAAGTTTCTTACGGTGACAGTCTAACTTGAGACGATGTATGGCGTCGTGTATATAATAAAATACGCAGAGATCTAAACACGCTTTAAACAGTTTTCTGACTGTTAATGAAAAGGGAGAAGTTCTAAAGAAAACTTAGTTGTCCTGATGGTTGCAAAAAGAAGGCTTTAAGCGGGGTATGTTCATCTAGTATTCGCCTTCCAAACGAGAAGCCGGCTAAAATAAGCTTACAAACAAACAGAAGGTCACAGAAAACAAGGTTTCTGAGAAAAGTTTTTCCGCAACACTTCAGTCACACTACTTTCTCCATTTAATGCAAAGTGCTTTTGTTTCCAGACATTTTTGACATTTTTCATGTTTTGACTGTCAGTCAAAAATCTTGCATTTTGCCATTTGCCTATTATTTCTTCTGGTTTCTTTCTTGGAGTGTGAGTCAAAATGCCGCGTGAATGAAGCTAAAATAAGAATTGCTTTATGGTTACATGGCTTGGGAGTTACGTCTATTGACACATTCTTCATCCTCACTTAAAAAATTACATAAAGGAGTTGTCATTTACTTTCAACTTTCTGCACTTACACCAACTGTTTGGGATTAATTGACGTGCTCTCAGCCAATGCGCGTGCTGAAATTGCTGGGTGCATATTATTAACTCGGAAACTATTCTGGACATGCCAGTACTGTCAGAAAGATGAATTATGACATGTGAAATCTCTACCCCTTTGTATTCCTGCAGCCCGAAGAAGGTTCCCCTTTATGGCCAAGCTTACCCGTATAGGCCATGTATAGGGAGCAACACCTACGTGAGACGGAGGCGAGAATCGTCTTATTCTCTTACTGTCAGCGCATACTTTGAACGGTTCAATCAGTTCTCACGAGAGCAGAATTATTAAAGGCCTAATCAACAAGTCTGCCAAACAAGTTCATTCATACGTAGCAAAGCTGTTCCCATCGGGAATCAAATAAACCACAGTAAGTAGCTTATTGCTTAAGGTCGAAAATGTTTGCTGCTCGATTATATTCACGATTCGGAAAAAAGTTACCCAGTGAAATTTCGTGCTCGAAAATCTACACCATGGTCAAAATTATAACTATGAAAATGAATGAATGATTGTGTAACTATTAAAAGTGACTCCGAACAAGAAGTTTCATGCAACTTGCTGAGAATTGCCGAAGAAGAAAACTGCTTTTAGCAAAGGAAAATGTGGTTTCCTCAAAGCACAATAAATACACCATTCCCCAAAATTCGGAAGCTCATACGACGCCAATTTTATGCAGGGACGATTTAATCTCTGAAGTACTGAGAAGTTAAGTCGGACGGAACCCAGACATGTTGTCCGCCATACCTTCGACATACCTCCTGTTATGTTGTTTCACTAAAGCCGGAATAAATTGAAGACGTGAATTCAAAACAGGAATGATTTAAGGTGGTATCGAAACCACAAAACGCTGACTGAAGTAAACAATTTCCGTTTTGGCGTATATACTGTATGTACATGTTGCTATATGCCACAACTGGGTCTAAACTGGGTAATATCGTGGTCAATCTAAAAAGATACCCTTCTTTTTCCTTCTAATCGCTTTGGAATATATCTTTACGAAGATACAATTTTTTTAGGAAGATTCGCAGAAATGCTTGCGTGAGAGTCAGGCCAATCCGTATAACTTGCAATATGAGTTGCTGCAACAGATTTTGTAATCTATAAAATGTGTATTTAGTGTTGTGACTAAGTCTTCTGTCAGCGTGCAGGTACTCAGTGGCAACATGAACGATACTGTATGTCATGGCCGAAAGTTTTAAAAACGAAACCATTTGGACTTGGTCAATTTGTAACATGCTTACGTTACCTGTTAACCCTACTAAGACGGGACACTTACCTTTTGCTAAACGGAAATTCTTTCTTATACAGTGACAGACATACAAAGCGTAGCTTGTGATTTTTACTCAGCTTCTATAAACGCGTCCATCTCTCTTTGCTCCTTTTCTCTTTAAAACACCCAGACAGTTTTGACGAATTCCAGTTTCCTAATGGCATTATATGGCGATTAGCTGAATTGAAACTATTTTCATAAACGGATAAAAATAAGCACAGTTCGGATTTCAACGACAATTGTGCCACTCTTCCTAATTTCCGTGTCTGTGCGAGGAGTTTAAAAGAACATCATTTATTAATTAATTAATTTCGTGTCAAAGTTTTAAGTAATTCCACAGACCAATAATGTCAATAGTACTTATTGTTCTATGGTGCTTGGTCGTAAATCTTTTAATGGGCTTATGAACCGTCTCTCGAGATATAAAATTGCTGTTTTCCACAGCCGGCTGTAAAACTGGTCAGTAACGCTGAGTGGTTATAAATCAAGTTAAACGTTTTGCTCCTGTCAGCTGGGAGACGCAACAAGCGGCCTTATCTATTAAAAACAGACCTTGATGGTGGGAGCTTAGAGCTTTTTAATAAGGATTTCGTTTATCTTATCAGGGCAAAAAACAAGTGCTTTGTGGAAAAACTATATAATTGACACATTTTATTCAAAAGGCTTCATGCTTCGTTCATTCTTTTCATGTTTTCCCTGACTTCAATTCTGTTGCTTATTTCACAGTACCAAAGTGTAACAGCATCAAAAATAACTGAACAAGATATGTTTGAAATAGAAAGCGGAGCCAGGAAACCAAACAGAAATTTTAGTAAACGCTAAGATTTTTGCCGCTCTTTTTGCTGACTAATCTCCCTTACAAAATATACAGATATCAATTAAAGAGTTAAAGAAATCATATCCTGCATCTTGTCATTTTGTGACGAAATCACATCAGCTTCTTTGTCACAGTCTGTTACAGAAAAATATATTACGACTGATAAACAAAGATTCTCAGTGAACATATGTACTTCTGCAGACGTCCCTCTGATGACGCCAGTTCCTACCGAATTTAATGAGGGGCTATTCACACTTGCTGTTCGGGAACCAGTGCCTAGGTACCGGCACAAAATGGTCTTGTGTTCACACTTTGAGTACCCGATACGTGACCTTGAACGTAGTTAATTCATTTCGCCCTGTCAGACGCCATTTTGAAACCTGAGCTAAGCAGCGAGAACGAAGCAGACCCGAGTACAAGGTCTCAACCTTGTGCTCACTCGGGCACCGTGTCGGTGCCCCAATTCTAGCGTGGGTACTTGAAAAAAGGGTGTGCTCACATTAGTGCCCAGCGAGTACCGTGCGTACCCGGGCACTGTGCCCGGGGGCCAACTGTGAACGCTGCCTAAGTTATTTAGCATTTTTCATCTTTTTACATTTACACAAGGGACCTCCTCATAACTTGCCCTCGCTCGGCAACAAACAAAACAGAAAAGAAATTAAACTACGAGAAACGTTTTGGCGAAGGGAAACGAATCTTTGATAAAATAAAGAATATATTCCATACGCTACGAGCTTTCGCTTCTGAACTATGTCTTACTATTTGAGACGTGACCTGCGATCATGCAATTCAGAAATGTTCCTTATCACGTGAGAAATCATTCTAAGCAGTGCGAGCAAGCTTACAGTTCGTCAGCATGGTCAGCAAAAGCTCAAAATTGTCAGAAAAGCGTAGCGTCTAGATTTCATAATTTTTTGGTACACTTCAATAGGATACTCAATGTTCTGCAAGAAAAACTTTCTTCCTTGAACAGGAATGTTTTTTAATGGTCAATTCACGAAGGTCACAATGGAATTCACTGTTCGCGCTAAAAATTAAATGGCCGGAGTAAAGGACAACGTTGATTTTTAGCGCAACACAGCATTGCAATGTTGGAACAACCTTGCAACCATTCGAATCAGTATTACAACAACATTGCAACGCTGTGTTGCGCTAAAAATCCTCGTTGCAAATCTTCTCGTGTAACATCACCTTAACAGGCGCAGGTTTTTTCAGGGCCAAGGGAGCAATTTCGGTCGAAGACGCACACGCGCGCACGAGGGAAGAAAAACAGAGGCGGCTCCATAAAAACTACATAACCAACCGCGGCCTTCTACGCAGGCTACCATAGAACGTCCAGTTATCTGTCCAAATTCTTTCTAGCCACATTTTGTAATGTGGAGAGTGTCTTACCTCATAGATGATGGATCCTATTTCAGCCTTTTTTCTATCCTCTTGAATGGCTGTACCGATAAAAACGTTTGAACTTTTTCAAAACAATTGTTATTTCTCCGTCAAATGGTCTCAAGGTAGGTGCAAGCGGACGCAGCAACTCCCAACATTGTTGGTCGGGTAGCTAAAAGTTTGACCGGTTTCAAACTTTGTGCAAAAACGCCCAACAACATGCAACAAAGTGCAACATGGTGTGAAACGGACGCAACATGTAACATCCAACAATGTTGCGTCCGTTTGCACGGGGCTTTGAACGTAACGGAAAGAAATTAACCGTTAGCTGTAGAAATGTTTCAAAGAGGAAATAATTTATCCAAGTTCAATTAGTCTCCCCCAAGCAGCCGTTTTTGTCTCATCACGCAACGCTCCTCCCTTGGGAAGAGCGTTTCTTGACGAGTCAGAAATCATAGGTTTAATCAACGCAATTTATTTTTAAAGCAATTTGTACGCCGCAGATTGATTTCTTCACTTCTCATTCTGTCTTCGGGATTGTTACAGAGAGTCAAAGTTCAGAAGCCATAAACAATACCCAGTACTACTTCGTGTATGACACAGTGAACTTTACTCGAGCAAATGATTTCCCATAAGCCTTTATGGCTTCTTGTAAATGCGTTCGAACTAAAACTTGTTATGATTGGCTGAACTGAACCCCTAACCAATAGCAATCCTTGTGATATCTCGGCAACAGAAATGTTTGTACTTTTCAAAAATGGCGGAAGCGGAAACACATACTCACCAAATACTTTCTTGATAAATCTTTGCCTTTGAAATCTTGCTTTTCGTACAAAAATTCCCGGTAAACTATTCCAAAGTATATTTTGTTCTTTTTCAAAATGCCACCATTAGACTGGGGAAGAATCATGCGTGCAGACATAACAGCGCTTCGAGAAGATCTTGACGCAGCTGATGATATGTATGGCGTCTTGGAGATGGTAAACTACATAACTACAACACATGTTTTGAATTGTTAACTGTTTTATGACGGTTGTTAATGAAGACTAAACGTTGCATGCTTACTTTGTAACTTTTTCAGGGCATGGTCGAAGCAGGTTCTGCGGAAGCTATTGATGCTAACAAGATGATAAAATTATTTGAAGTGACCAAAGCTGTTATGAAGGTGAATAATATTCATGATACAACTTACATGGCGGTAATTGACGTTCTTCCGTGAGGAGAGTTTCTATACTTGTCTGTTTAGACTATTGGTCGTTGAACAAGTAAGAAGAGCTTACAGAGTACATGTTAGTATGTCAAGAACATGAAGTATTAACCCTTATCTTGAGTTTTGGAGTTAAAGTGATGATAAATGACTCTTAAATGTTCACCAGCAACATTACTCTGTCTATAGTGTTATAATGTCAATAAACTTATTCAAAACTTGTGTTTGAAATACAATTCTCTAAAAAGACTTCTTCATGAGAAGTCAGGATACTTGGTCCACTTAACAAGAAGAATGATTCTTTTGTTTTCGTATAACGTATTTACGGAGGACTCTGCCTCATTTTGGGCTGGGCTCTTGATCTTGCTTAAGAGAGGCAATCACCAATGCTAGCCTAGGACCTCATAGGCATCTCAGGCACAACATGTCATGGAGAGGTGTACAAAAGTAAGCCACTTTAAGAGTGATAAGGATGTCTTCCCTCCCTCAGTGTTAACTTGAGAAAATTAAGTTGTTTATACTAAAATAACATTTATTGTCTACCAAAATCAATAGGTCAAATCACTGCAGGTTGAGCTAGCAGCTGACGAACTCACTAAAGGTGGAGGTGGTGAAAGAGGTACATTATCGTTAAATTCTAGCTCAGCTATTACCAAGGAGCACCAGCCTGACTAGAGCCTAAGATTTGTTTGATATTCAGTTGAATTGCTATTTTTTTTATCTCTGGTTCAGAGGAAACTGGAAACTGCTACAGAGTATTGGGTTGGATTTCAATAAGAGTTTTTGAGTGGGAGAGGGAGGTCAGTTTTGCTTTGAATTGTTTTAAAGTTCAAGATCAAAGAGATCAAGAAAATGTAATTCTACTGTTTTTTTAGTTTTCAATAGCCTAATGTGACATCTGCCCTTTTTGAGAGCTCTATTGATTTTCTTGATTCCATTCTATCAGTCAACCCAACCCTTTAATAATTATTACATTTACATGTTGATTATAATAAATGGGGATAATCCAAACAAAAGATTGGATCTTTGTTCTCAAAACAGAGTTCTTTTTGAGCTACAATCTTGGACAAGACCTGCAGAACCCACATCCCGCCCATTTGGTACCACAATGACCCCCCCACCCACCCTGATCAGTCAGGGGAAAAAATGATCTAGTGAGAATTCAATCTTGGTTTTTTGAGGGGAGGGGGGAGTATTTGTAACAATAATTGCCAGTGCTTTAAAGGGCTTTTTCTTGAAACTAGACGTGGTAACATCCATTTTTGGTAGCATTTTCATCCAAGATTGTTGCTGAATTCTAAGGAAATGTTTTCCATGATACCTGTTTACTACCATGCTTTTCAATTAATTACAGTATCTTGTATGTGAATTTTGTCTTAATAGAGCAAGAGTTGATGGATGAGATAAGACATTTGGAAGGAGAGCTTCAACAGTACAGGGTGAGATGCATCTCGTAAAGAATACCATACTCCTTCAGGGGTGTCTCTATCTAATTGATGTACCACATCTATATTTTATTATACATTGCACTGAATTATCTGTCTTCTCATTGGCTAAGAGCCTATGGTTATTTTGCAAATCAACGCAATCAAAACGTTAATAGACTAATATGTAGGTTGTGTGTGCAATGCATGATTTCCAAGGGCAATGTCAAACTGTGTTCTTTGTGATGGCACTTGTCCAAATTTTTTTCAAAACAGTGTATAATAAAGCAATATTATTAAATTCAGTTTTAAGTGATATCGGAAAAATTCAGTTTTAAGTGATATCGGAAATAAATTCTTAGAATTTCTTTTAAAATTGGGAATATATATATTTGATTAGATTTTGTAAAATAGGGTTTTATACATACTCTTTATTCTTCCATGTAGTTAGTTACTTTCTTCTTATGCAATTTAGTTTTTTAGGTACACCGCAGTGTAGCTCTTAGATAGGTGTCGTTACTTAGTGGGTAACTGCTAGTTTATTTTATTTTCACAGAAATTATTCCCTACTTTGATTTGTAACCATTTGATATGCATACTTGTTGTTACTATTATTATTATTATTATTATTATTGTTATTATTATTATCATTGTCACTTAATTGTGTTGCATACTGTTGTAATTAATACTGGGTGTTTTGATTCTTATGTAGAAATATGAGGGTGCTGGTGGAGAAGACTTCATGAGAGAAATTCGACAAATTGAAAACAGGAGAGCTGTGAGCATCTTCTATTTAAGTTGTCAATAATTATGTGTACTTTCCTTCCTTCAAGTGGCTAAGGTCAATATTTGAGAAGAAAGTGCAAAGGAGGAGAAATAAATTAAAAGTTGCCAATTCTGGGACTCTAACCAACAGCCAAAATGAAAACCCTTTAATTGTGGTTGAGTATATTATCACCATCATTGGTCATTTGCTTTTACATTCTCACATACGATGGACAACTGTTTGTCTACATTTGTTTTCTCCAGAAGCTCCCTCAACTGATGAAAACTGTGGTCTAGTTGTCATAGAAGAGCCAGTTACTCACAAAAAAAATTGCTAAGTGTAATGAGAAATCCATAAAGCACAATTGTGTTATTGAAAATGAAGTAAAATAGATATATAAATGTACCATCCTCATAGCTAAAAATTTGTACCATGGCCGCTTACGAAATGCACTGAATTGTACAGTATTTTTGGGGCCTCAAAGTTAAAACTCCCCCAAAGGAGATCCCCTTTTTACCTCACACATGACTGCACCATGCGAAAGACTCTCTGTATTTTTCAATCTACTCTATTGCTGCCTAGTTAATTTTTTCTCCTTCTACTTTTAATTTTCTTGCAAACCCTAAAGCCATTGTAGAAAGTTAAAATGCCTGTAATTTTATTATTTTACCTGGAAAATAGCTTTTACACTCATCATCCCAATCCTGTGTGAACGTGAAAGCAAAGTCATGTATCTTGAATAGACATGTATTACCAAAGAAAAAGGGAAGCACAAGGGTTAGAAATACTAGAATTGGAGGCTTTACTTCTCCTCAGAATTGAGAAAAGCTATCTGAGACTAACTTGATGAAATTGGGAATGACTGTTTCATAGGATTTCCAAATTAAAGTTGTTGTTTCAGGTACATTGTAATATTATTACTAGGATAAAAGTGTAAGCCAAGCACCCTCTTTTTGTGACAGGCTCTAGAAAGAGAACTTAATGAAAAGGAAGAAGCGTTTTTCAAAGAGAAGAACAAAAGTGATCAAGTAAGTCATGTAAACTATTTTGTCTGCCTCTGCATGTTTACCAAACCATGAAGAATGTAAAAGATTATCAAGTAAATGGTCAATGTAAACTATTTTGTCTGCCAGAATTTCATGCATGTTTACCAAACTGGTTGTTATTGTGATTATGTTTTGATTAAGAATTGAAGTAACTCTAATATACCTCCACAACAGCTACGATCAATACGAGTTGAACGTTTCCAAGCCACCAAGGGGAATTTTTGGCGAAAATAGTTTGCCCTCTGGCGACCAAAAATTTATACTTGCTCACCAGTTGGCGCCCATATTAAAAAGTTAATTTCGGACCCTGAATGTTGAATGTGCTATATTATAGTTGTTATTTTCCCCGTGTGTTTTCTTTACATGTACAGTCTGTAACTCATGTTTTATTGGTTTTTTGGTGAGAATAGATAAGAAATAAGTTAAGGTGATTCCCTAGTTTTGCACTGCGCATCTCTTACTGCGCATAACAAGATGGCCGCCGTAAAAAAGAGCATGTGAAGTAATATTATTAAAATAAAGTTGACTGAAGAGAAACGCTATTGGAATTTTTGCTTGCTGTTGTTTCTTGCCCAGGTGAGACTCAGTGTGTTGGGAATGTGCATAATGTAAGCAGTACGCGTGTTGCTGGGTTCGACCTCCTCTCTGAGAACCTCGATAGTGGATGTTTAACTTGCGCTTACTCACTTTGATTTTCATTTAAACACTTTTTTTATCACATTGTGTCCTAACTGTGATTTCTCGATGTAAATTCTGTAAAAACGGATTTTTTAATACTTTCTTCCCCCTTTCACATACATTCTATTTTGAAACTCGCCCCAGTCCTCTCTCAAAAATTGGAGAAAATGTGTTTGGTGCGCACTTTCTACAGCTCTACCGCAAAAACGAGTATGGTGACCCCCATTTTTTATTTCATGATTTTAATAAGAACAGTGCTTCCTTTCGATGAGAAAAAAATTGGTACAAATCTATGTTCAGTTTTTTGGCAATCTTACTAAATTGTACGGATTGAACCATCATGGGTCGAAAAGCGCGTGTCCAATTTAATTCTACTTTGGAGTGTAAAGTAAAAACAAGGGCATTAAAAGGCATTTTTCTGGTACGAAAGTGAATAAACAATACATTAAAGTCAAATTCTGTGTGATGCCACATGCATCATCGAAAAATCTCTCCTTTTTGTCTAGTTTTGGGCTGCCCGCGGTTTTTGTAAAAGGGTCCTAAATAGCCGTATTTGTCAGCATTGTGATGTCAAAACGAGCACGGTGACCCCCACTTTTTATTACTTTTTTATCATCTTCTTGACTTGTTACATCAGTGCACCAAGTTTTAGCTACAATCTATGTTAGGTTCTTTTACTATGGAATCACCTTAAGGATGAATAACTTTATCTTAACCTTAGCTGTACATGTTTGTGTAAACTTTCAAAAAAGTCCTTCGTCCGATTTAATATGGCGTGGGACAAAGACTTTTCATACTTGATTGGTGCCAGTTTTAGCGTCCCAAAAAGGGATCACTGCACTTAGACCAATCAGAGTAGCTATTTAGGACCCATGGGGATAAAGTTGTCACTCACAAGTAATTAAGCATATTGAAACGTGACCTTTCCATTGGGAAGATGGTCAAGCGAAACAAGTTGACCTCTCGTCACCTCGTTTCTCGCTCGGCAGCTTCATAGCCTAAAGAGCTTGCTATGCTTGCCAAGAAACTCGTGAGGTCGACTTGTAGCAAGTCTAATATATAATATGTGTTCTGGTTCAATTTTATCCTTGGTTTAATTATCATTTTCTTTTGTTTCAAACTCATCATCATACATTACCATGCCCAAAAACTAAAAAAATTGGGAATTAATCCAAAGATAAAATGGAAACATAACATATGTGAGTTTTCAATAATGTACCACTCTCTGACCTATTAGAGAAAACAAAGATCCTGCCTTTGCCAGGCAAATGTCTTATCCAGTAGATGGGTGGTAGTTTCGTGGTGTTCTGGACTGTTGCGATCACCAAATGATCTATTACAAAATATTGAAAAGATGCTGAACAACACCCAGACCACAAAGCAAAAGCGAACCAACAACAGTTTCTGCAACACCAAGAATCGTCCAGTAGATAACCATATAGAAATAGTAGTCCCATCTTCAGTCCAGGATTATAAACTGACAGTATCCTCAATAAGTTCAGTACAGAGCATTGGGATCAGAGCACTTCACTCATGTAAAATGCCTACGATATGGACTTCTTTTGTATTTTTAATGCCTTACTCTCTGACTGATCAAGTGGAGGCATGATAGGCTAGCAGCAAACACCTCAAACTTCAGTTCTGTAGGTCTGGGTTTAAGCATACCCTTTTTCCTTTGACAAGACATTTTCCTCCTCTATGTCTCTCTTTAACCAAATGTGTTAATAGCTACCTGCGAGATGCAGTACATTTTTGTACCACTAGTGGTAACCCCGCAGTGGATGGACTTGCATTCCATCCATGGGGGAACAGCAATATTCCTAGGTCCTTCATGCTACAAAAACTGGGTAAAGCTCCAGCTGTACAGGCCTTCTTAGTTCTTGTGTGCCATTTCCTTTTACCCATGACTCGGTGGCCTTAACGTGTTCTGATAAGTTTAAGCACTCAGAGCTGTCACTAAGATTTCAAGTTTGTGGGTAAATAATGCAACAAGTTGGCGGGGGAATCAAACAGCTACAACTGTGGAGATTTAATTTGGTTCTATTTTTCTATTTTCCTGCAAAAGTAGCTGGGAATCACCTTCAGTAGTAGGTTGGGAATATATTCCCCAAGGTCTCATGTTTGCTTTGGTATAGTGGAGATTGAAACTTCCCACACTGCAGAATGGTACTCTACCAAATGATCTGTTCAGGGGAAATTGTTATGGAATCCTTATTCACTCTGTTTAACTTTGTTTCTCTCTGATAGCTGGTGTCAAGACTGGATGAAGTTGAGAGAGAAAACAAGACTCTGAAAAGAGATGTAAGCAACTTCATAATTACCTCTGGATAGTTCCAAATTAATGAGTGTCTAGCTGTATGCCCTTAGTGACATACATGTGTAGTTATCAATCAACAGTGAATTCTTTTGTTTTTGTTAATTAGCTGGACAGGAGTAAGATGGACATGAGAGATTTACAGCGACAAATTGAACAGCAGGTATTGTTTCTTTCAAATTAATAGTGGGATTTGGTTTTGTTTCATATGTAAAAGATATGTCATCTATAGGATCCTTGAAATATCTTCAATGTTGGTCAATAAAGTCAACTGAATATTTTTATTTATTACAGTATCCTGTTAAAGGTACATGAAATGTACATTCTCAATTTCAAATTCTGTGACATTACACATGCAAACTTACCAAAAACCTTTGTGAACAATATAGATAAAAAATTTAATTGATAAAGTTGCATTTTTGTTTCTAGAGAGAAAGTATGGTGATGCGCCGAGGAGATGATGCTAACTTTAAAGACAAGATGTCAAAGAAAAATAAGGAGTTGTCTGAATACCTGGATGAAATAAGGGTATGGTTGACTGTTTGGGATGTGACCAAGAATGTTGTGCCGATAATATTATGTTTTGTCATTACTGAAATGGTTACAAAAAAGATGACTGAATAATAAGAAACTAAAAGAGGACCATATCATCAAAAAATTCGTACAAAAGAATGTTTGTTATGTTTTTGGCTATCAACATTTGTAACTGTTTACTGCGGAAATGAACAAAATTCTACAATTACCTATTTCATAACTAATAAATACAAATTTATTTTGATAGGTTCTACAAGAAGCCAATGATGAATTAGAGGATCGGGTCAAGAGTGTTCAGAAAGAACTTGAAGAGTCAACTGCAGAGATGGACAAAATGACTGATGAGTACACAAAACTTAAGGTAGGACTGTTCATAGGTTGTGTGACATTGATAAGAAAAAAAAACGAGGGATAATTTGGAAAAGCAATTACGAGTTGTCTGATTAAAAGGGAAAATTTGCAAGGCGCTTACTTGCTTTGCTTTTCTATGCTCATCTCTTGAGTTTATGATATTCAACATTTACCAGATTAAAGTGTTCGTTTATCACAAATAAGGTATTTCATTCTGACTTGTGAATGTCCATAGTATAAGTACTTTGTCAGTAACTTTTATGATGAGAATCCAGATAACAGGAAAAAGTTCACCCTGACACAGATTACTGTTAACTTCTGCCGTTTTTGTATAAATGGCACATGTAAGTCATAAGAATAATGTCAGTTAACTTGCTCGATCTCTCTCAATTTCTTCTTACCTCAGATGATCTTACAGCAATCAGACCTGATAATTGATGATATGCGAAAAGAAAGAGATGCTCTTAGAGCTCAGGTCAGTGTGTCCAGTCAGTGCAAGTTCTGTCTGTGTTATGGAACTGTACGTACTTGATATTCAGTGTGTTTTGGGAGGGGGCAGTGGGATTGACTAGTGTAAGTAGCGTACACATGGTTACGTAATGTTAATTTAAAAATTGTAAAATCGACGCTGTTCAAAAGAGTCTTAACCGACGTTTTGGCAATGCTGCCTTCTTCAGGATACAAGACCATTTTAACAAGTTTTAAATTGGCAGTAGGATTGACATAAGCTGTAATTGCTTGTGAAGTTTCCAGTTGTAGTGCATTTGTTTGGGTTAAAGTCGTAATCAGAGGAAGGTTTCCAAATAACCAGGGTGGATTAAAAAGATAAGGATGAGGGTGTAATTCAGTCTTGTGCCATTTGGCCTTTGCAATACCCAATGAAAATTCACTATTTTACGGCAGAGGATAGATGTCTTTTGTCCGGGACAGACAGAATTTACCTTGAAATATAATTTTTAATCTGGACCACAAAGTGGCAAGAAAGCGGCGCACCAAGTGTCCTCGGTGGTAACTATAAATTCCGTTGATCAGAACTAAGATGAGTTGTAATAAACTGACTTTTATTTTCAGCAGTGCTTGGAGCAAACGTACTTGCTTTTTCTTATTCTTCAGGTACAAGACCTTAGGATGCAGTTTGCAACCAAGACAGACACTGATGACCAGATTATGGTGGCTGTCAATGCCAAAGTTGAAGAATGGAAGGTTTGTGCATTAAAATGTCACTTTAGTGCCTGCTCTGGAATTTGTTGTTGAATATGTTACTACACATTTTAAAAGTGACTAGTGAGCCAAGTTATTTCTTTGTTATTCTCTGTCGAATGCCAATCATGCCCTAATGTTCATAAATGTGCACTCTCCCAATCTTGGCAGTTTTGTGCAGCAAATCAGCACCATAGCCCGATAAAGACCAGGACTACCCGGTCAAAACACCGTAATTACTAAGTGACTATAGTGAGACAAACGGTAAACGCACCTATCAGACATGTATTTATTTTCGACCTAAAAATATCAGCCACGAAAAGACTGCTAAAAAGACCTTGAAACAGTTTCAAGAAGTAGATTGAAAGAAACATGTATGGAGCTAGTAGACCTTGAACCTGTTAGGCTACTTTGTGTTATATGCCACAATCGTAAGTGGAAGCTACTTGCATGGAAACTACAAACATCTATTTCTTTTTTTAATTTTTGGCACTGCAGACTGTTCTTGCAGCCAAAGAGATTGAACTAGAACAGTACAAGTCATTAGTAGAGGAACTGAATCAGCAGATCAATGGGCTTCAGATGGACACAGACAAAACTTCCTTGGCCATGCTGCAGCAGGTAAGAAACTCGGATTTGTGTGAAGCTATGTTAGCTGAGTAGCAGTATAAACCCGTCATGTGAGGCGTTGTACTGTGTCCTAACAGACAAAACTTGATCGGGAAAGTGGCTTTTACGCGGCACAGCCATCATAGGTAGACTAGACTAGTTAAGCACAGTTAAAATCCTAATCTTATTAGTAACTAAGCCAAAATTTCGGAAAGGCTATTCTACTATACTGACCAAGTTATACTTATAATTATTAGATAGAGCATTTGAAGCAGACATAGTGTTCCCGGCGCTACTTTTGTGTAAGGCTGAGTGGAGTGCTGACGCATCTTTGCACTCAGGTATTCTGGTGAGCAGACGATAAGCTGTTAGCGCAATCCTTTTAAAACTAAAGAGTTTTACAGGAACAAGGTTTAGGACAGTCTGTTAGCGCGCGACCTTCTGTGCGGGAGTTGCCGATCCCCTTGTTTCGACTTCTTTCTTTTCTGTGAAAAAAAAAAAAAAATGCTAAAACGGATCACTGATGGAGAGAGGGAGGGGGGGAGGGAGTGGAAGTGCTGTCCGTCAGAGCGTTGATGGAAAGAGGGGAGTGGGTAATGGGTAAAATGTGCGCTCCGTCGGCCTCAAGAGGCTTGTAAGTACGAGCTACCGCCGTATAATAATTACCTTTATCTTAATGTTGGTCGTTGCAGGCGGTGGCCGAGAAAGATGAAAAGATTGAAATGCTCAAAAAGGAACTGGAAAAGGTGCATTACAGTATTTTGCTTAGCAATTTTCAGAAGGAACTTGAATTCTAATGACATTTCATGGTGCATTTGATGGATACTTTGCATCTAAGATCTGGAACTCCCTACCTAATAATGTAAGATCTGAGCCTACTTTAACTAGAAGACTTCTGAAAACTAATCTTCTTTCAGACATAATGGTATTTGTAAAATGTGCATGCTTGTATATAACGTAATCCAGTGTAAATAGGTTTTCCTTTTTTTCTTTTACACTATTTGTATTCTAGATACAAGTTGCGTGTTGCAAATTTTAAATATTAATTATAATTATTACTTCCGTTATTGTTACTTTTTCAGACAGAATTTATTAATTCGAAGCACGGTGTTGCAATCAGTGAAAAAGCTTATTGCTTGTTTGCTATTGTAAGATCTGCTATGATCTAGTTAAAATTGCATGTTTTTTAAGAGTGTTTTACTTTCATTGAAGGCATCAACGGAGATGCATGACCTGGCATCATACGTGGAACAGGTCAAGTCCCAAAACGAAAAAGGTCAATAATATTATTTCACTGTAATATAATAATAATAATAATATAGTTCATTTATATAGCGCTATTAATACTAATTATTCATAGCGCTTTACAATTTTAAACCTTATAATAACTATAAAATAGTTTTTACAATTTCATCCTACTATTCTAATTCCCACAATTATATATAATTAAAAAATAATTACTGATTACATCTTACACACTACAAAAAAAATAGAAAACAAAAGAAAATACATAATAGTAATAGTAACTGTCATGCGCAATGTCTTTTTTCTCCTTATAATCATGAGGGTATCCCTGTCTGGAGTGTTATATGGTTGAATCCGCGAGCGGGCAAGATGCAGCGAATCCTGCGTTCTGATTGGCTACCCGAGCGGGCAAGATAGGCACATCTTGCCCACTCGGGATGTCTCTCGTTGATCCCGCGAGAAAATGTTCTCGTTTTGACCATATAATAAATCCTTTAGTGACCAAGCTCGTTGAAGATGGCTGTATATTGGCGTCGGAGCTTAAGCAGCGACGTTTTTGAGCCACGGGCGTCAATCAGAAGTGGACTTTTTGCGCTCTTGAGCCGTGATTTTGAACAAACTTTTGGTCAAATTGTCTCTAAAATAGTAAAGACACTTAGCAATACAAATTTGGTAGCGTTAAGGCATACTAAAAGAGAAAAAGGCTCACTTCCGGTTGACGTGAGACAATCAAAAACGTCACTGCTTAAACTTCCAATTGACCGAGACGAAGCTTGGCCAATATCCAGCCATCTTACAGCAAGGAGCCCAAAAGGGTGACCTCAGCTCACATTCTTTCATGCAGACATTAACCAATCAGAAGTCGAGGACAGTTTCCAGCTGGCTTCTGATTGGATGAAATCTGTACGAAAGAATGTGAATAAATAAAAAACGGTCACACTTTTGGGCTCCTTGCTGTAGCCAAACAAGCTTGGTCAATAACAGATATTATCATTCGATGCAAATTTTTCTTCCTTTTCATTGGCTGAAAGCCCACCACGTGACCTGCAAATAACTGCCTACAAATAATGGTCTGCTCATGCGCAATGTCGTCCAACTGTGTTTGGCTGCAAATAATATTCTGCTCATGCGTAAACGAAACCACGCGTGATACGTTCTTGCGTGAAAAAAGGCAGATCGCTTCGCTTTCCGAAGATATTCATTGAAAAACAAACTTGGTGATCGAATGATAAAACAATTAGTGAACTCGGTTATCACAAAATATCGTGATTTGCCAGTGTCTCGCACATCAATTATTTGCCTCAGCCTTCGGCTTTGGCAAATAATTGATCTGCACTGACAAATCACGATACTTTTATCAACCTCGTCCAATGATTGTTAATTTATTGCAATGCATAGTGCTTCAGTGAAATGTAATTAAATACGCGTTTTACTGTAATCACTTAATTCTTTGGATCTGAAAAGAAGTGTTTCCTTTCCACACTACCTATGGTTAAGATATTGATGACCGCTTCTTTTAACGGGAACCTATCCGAAGATAGACAGTCGGCGAAAGAGCGTCCCTGATCTCTGTTTACATTGTACTCAGACTCAACGAAAAGCTATCGTAGCGAGTACTTAGGCTTTGCCATTTGCTCAGAGCCTTCGTTCGTGCAGTTCAGCGATAATATGTGAGCATGCGCACTTTAGACTTGCACAGCATGCTGCATTTGATAATCGAGTATTACCAAGGAGGATTCGGAAACAATTCGAATTAATGAGCCCACCGTTACTCAGCGGCGCATGGCGAGGTGCACTAAAGTGTTTGTGTCAAAATGTTGAGGGAATGCTTAGCAGGTTTAGACTCAGGGCCTGGTTCCTGAAAGGCCGATTAGTGTTAATCCAGGATTAAAATTTTGTTCCGTTTTTTTATTTTACACTCCTATGCATTGCTTAGGGTAACATTTTGTGTTATCATTACTGTATCTCGTAGTAAAGACTCAACAGTACTTTGTAACCTCGAGTTGCATGTTCTTAGACGAGAAAACCGTACTTGAAATTTGGCTTAATCCTGGGTTAAACTTAACCATCTTTCGAGGAACCGGGCCGAGAATTCCACAGGAAGCCTAATTAAAAAAAAATGGATTTTTGTCATTTTAGGTGTTCCATCTGCTTACCAACAGAAGAGAATCAAGGAGTTAAATAGCACACTACATAGGGAACAACTGGAAGTCTTGCAGATCAAGGACAGAATGATAATGGTAAACGTGCTAAAATGCAGACTGCTTAAGTTCACAAGTTGCTTGAGAAGAGTAACTCATGCTTTATGCGGATCAGAAGTTAGAACCGTCTTGTTCAACGAAAGCAAATCCTACATCCAGAAAAACTGAAATGCCCACTCTTAGGATTACTCTTTACAATGTAGCTTTTAAAACAGTTGGAAAAAAAAAGGTTGTGTCTCATGAATTTCACGGAGGTAACGCTACTTTTAAGCTCTGATGAAGCTCTGAGGTGTGTAGTTCTTCCATCTTTCGTTATTTGTTTCTTTTGCTATTATCCCACCTACTTTATTAAGATTAAGAGAGATCGTCAATACGGATTTGGACCTCGCAGACCAAAGTTAGGTTTTGACAGTTCAATCGAAAGCGTGTTAGAATAGCTTCCTTTCTTTGGTATTGATAGTTCTTTTTTCGGTGTTTTGAGTATTTATTTACACATTTAAGCAACAATGTCTTAAAGCTGATCAGTGATCGTTTCTTCTTTTGAACAGGCGGAGAAAGCTGCAGCTACGAAGGACAAACAGTTGAATGATTTGCTGGCCCGTATGATGCAGTATGAAAGGGTAGGTTATAAACATTATTCTTAGCAACTACGTCTTTTCTGTCATGGCAGATGTTTCAAGTAGCCCACACCATTGAAAGGTCTTACTCTGGTATGCATTCAAGTCCATGAAATGACATATTTAAGACAGGTGCTACCGATTTCAGGGAGAATATGGTTTGAGTGAAGCAGTGCAAGAAATCAAGGACTGCAAGGCTCAGATTCGCATTCGAGATCAGTAAGGAACATTGTTATTTACATTTCTTGTCGTAATGTTTTGCTAAGGGCGGTAATGATATTCTCTCTATATTGCGGAAATCCTTCAGTGGATGGATGCCCACTGTTAAAGGACATTAAAGAGAGATTTTTCTCTCAATGCTGAAGCACACTGACGAAACTGAGGTCAAGTTAAATTGTGACTGATAACTTCATGTAACTTCATAGGTTTTGTATTGAGATGTCTGACTACCTTTGCAAAAAAGATCAATTTGCGGCAAAATTTTAGAATTAATTTAAATATGAAGCAATAGCGAGTTTTGGTTCTTATTTCCACATCTTAGAAACATTGAAGACTTGACAAGCCAAGTTAATCAATTAGAGATTAAAGTAAATGACACTGAAATGGAAAATGAGGAATTGCGGGAAAGGCTCGGAATGGATCCAAAGGAAACGCTGGACATCGAGGACGTCCGACACAAGAAGAAAGTGAAAGCAGAGCAGGCAGTAGCATTGAACAGGGCACTCACTAAAGAGGTAAAGCAGCTATACTTAGGACAGGGTTTGACAGGTTATGGAAAACCTGCCAAGTCATGGAATTTAAAAGAATTTCAATTTCCAGGCCTGGAAATTCATGGAATTTAATTGTCGGTCCTGGAAAGTCATAGAAAATTAAAGATTTGTTTAATAGATAAGTAACTGCAGATGGCAAAGCAAGGACGACGTAAGATCAAGACGAGAAATCAAACAGCGCGAACGGCACACATTTTGGGGGACACCAGAGTTTTTGTTTTTTCAGGTGAAAAATATGCTAAAATAAGGCAAGTTTTGAAAATTTTCGAAAGCGACAGCTTAACGTAAGGTCATGGAAAACTTGAAAAAGTCATGGAAATAGTCATGGAAAGTGATGCAATTTGAAGAGCTTAAAAGAGTACGAACCCTGTTCCAAAAATCAGCCAGGGAATTTAAAATTACCGTTTTTTTAATCCTTCATACCTTTGAATCTTGATGATTTTGTTCTGTTTAGGTTGAACGATTGGAAGAAGAAAGACTTCAGCTCAAGAGACAGCTAAGAAAACAAGCGATGCACAGAGGTGCTCGGTACGTGACATGATAGATAATCTTTATTTATTCACGGTACAAAATTCGTCAGCTTTAAAAATGCCTAATACTAATATAATAAAAATATTTAAATAAAAAAGCTGCTTTCCACGAATGCCGTGCCTTACAGTTCTTTGAGTAATCGTTTAAATTGCCCAAGGGACTCTGCTTCCCTTAAGTTACAAGGAAGACTGTTCCAGAGAATGGCGCCACTATAGCTGAAGCTGTTTTTGTAATAGTTTGTGCGCGGTAATGGAATATTGAGTTTATTTTCAGAGTCCCTTAGGTTATATGCGACTTCTCGCCTTTCAAATTTAGAACTAAGATAGTTTGGAGCCAAACATATATGATACAGCATGGCATGACATGACATGACATTTACATTTGAAATGAAGTGATATGAAACGACTTGATAATGTATCATTTGACATGATATGACATAACATTATATAGATAACATGATGGTATGACTTTACTTACATGCTATGGTATATGATATGACGTGATATGGCTTAACAGTACAGGGCATGATATGATATGACAAGATCTTTATTGGGTAAACGCGTGATCAAACTGGTGGAGAATACTCGTACTTTTTTATCCCGTAACCCTTGGAAGTTTTAGGTAGCGTTAAAGATGAAAACTGCTGAAAAGTTATACCGCTTTAATGGAAATGTAACACTTACCGAGTTTGCTTGTATGTTATTTGTGTTTCAGAGCTGTTGAGTTAGGAATCACGGCAGAAGACCTGATCATAGCGGAAGAGCAGGAAGATGTCTCGTCCCCCAGAAGGCCACTCCCTGCCGTGGATTCTGATAGTGAAGTCACCAGAGCTTTGGTATACATTTCACGAGATACTTATTTGCAATTTTGAGTCATGTTCTTTTACGTACAAATTTAAGATAAAAAGTTCGCATGTGTGTTTTTTTGTTATTCTAGAACAAGAGACTAGAAGGAGAGGTGGAGAAAAACGAACAGCAAATTGAAAACTACAAAACAAACATGAAGAAGATAGAAACAGAAAATAAGGTATAAACCGTAAGTTAAATTTGCAAGAGCATCCTGGGCAAAAAATCATTGCATCAACCTTATAAGCTTTCACCTGGGCAATTATATTGTGTTTTTTTTTAAATAAATACATTGTTTAAAATCGCAATCATCTTTGCTTGTGTAGGTAGTTGGTCTTGGGCCTGAGAGGAAAAAGTATAATGGAAACACCGAATGTATCTTGGAAAAAAGTTGTAATTGATGTGTCGATCATCTACGATTGTTTTGGACATTCTTAGACTACGAGTAGTCCCCCATTTTTCCTCAGGGATAGTAGGGCGAGCGAAACGCGAGCGCGCGTGAAAATCACCTCGCGTGGGGTGATTTTCACGCGCGCTCGCGTTTCGCTCGCCCTACTATCCCTGAGGAAAAATGGGGGACTACTCGTTGTCTAGGACATTCCCTTCCGCAGTTAGTGGGGAATTTAAGCAACCACAACGGAGACGTAAAAAAAACAACAGGTCTAATAACAAGAACATCAACTTTGCACATGCATCACGCTTTTTTTCTACATTACTTGGTCGTCAATGCACGACTACAGCATGAAACTTTCCAGTGTGACGTTTTTAAACTTTGATGTACTCCCCAAAAATTCAACCCGAGGACAACTTGCCCACACGTACTTGATTAATTGAGCCAGTTAAATTAACCGCCGTAAGTTTTAAAAGAACACGAATGTACTTCATAAATGACGTCTCACTACGTATTAAATACCTTTTTGTTTCATTGTGATGTGTATCACAGGAGCTTAAAGAAGAGAACAAGCAGATGGAAGTGGGAATGAGAGAAATATTAGCGCAGCTGAAAGAACGCGCTCAAAAAGGTTTGCTTGTGTTAATGATTGAGAAATGCTCCTAATCTTTAAGCAGGCTTAGCAAAGTAGGAGGTTTCTCGGCGTGCTTCGGGGCCATTTAGACACTTATGACTTCAAAATGAAGAAGAAGAAGAATGACAAACGCAGACTTTTTAGGCCACTCGAAAACCGTCCAGTACCCGGTTGTAATCGTTGAGAGCATAAGACGTGTCTAAATTCTTTTAGCAGAAATACACCTCACTTTATAGAGAAAACTCTACGTTCACATTCAACTGTTAACCCTTCAAACCCAAATATCAAAATTCAAATTCTCTTTTGTTTTCCCTATACATTTCCTGTAGAAGTAGTGGGAAGAAGTTGTTGAAGTTTCAACCAGATTAAACTTGCGTGATCATTTCCTTAATTCTCATCACCAATCTGTTTTATAAAGTATTAATATCACGAGGAGAATTTTGATGTTGATCCCTCTCAGGGCTTAGTTAGAGGGTTTATGTGCGGAATAACAATGTACGTGAACAGTCGGTAATGTGTTTGTTGATGTTTTTGTAAGTAACAGTATACATTAAGATTTGTGTGAGAAGCAGTTTTTCAAACCTCACTACTATGAATCATTGTTTTCTTGTCTTACATCGGCAAATATGAAACCTTCTTCTGCACCCGCAGTTTTATACATAAATGCCTTGTTGCGTTGTAGATTCTGACGAAAGTAAACTCATTCAAGTTCCCGCCTTGGAAAAGCTAATGGCTGTAAGTTGAAACATTTTGAACTTCGAAGAAATGAATTTGGCGGATGCTTGCTGGAGAACTCATTTTTGTTAAATGTTCTTTTTAGTTGATTGAATCCAGAAATGCCGTTGGCCAGTACGACACGACTCTAAATTTAAAGGCTCAGGTAGATATACACAGTAGATTACACTTAAATGTGAGCAAGCTTATTCTCCATATTGCTAAAACTCCGTTATTACTCTGATGGTAAAAACTTTTTTTTTTTCATTTAAAATATTTCTCCGTCTTTGGTTGGCTTCATTCTGCATCGCTAATTATTCAGAACTAGTTGGGAGTAGCGTTTATCAAATTTGAAAGATTTACAATGTTGAATGTTTGAAAATTATTGGATGATTGACGTCATGCAAAGATATTGGCGCGGTCGCTCAGCTGTTTTTGGCGATGGCGGAAGATTTCACACGCTGTGCGAACACGAAATAGCCAAATTAGTATAGGTAATAGCATGATTTGTAGTGATATTTGGCATAAATACCACGAGTGATATTTCAAAATTGTTATACGTAATTTGAAATTTGAGACAATTTAGAAATGTCACGAGTGGTATTTACGCCAAATATAACGTACAAATCTTGCTATTATTTGTTTATACTACTACACACTAAAGGTTTGTAATTTTCAAATATAGGTATTTCAAATTAAGCTGAAATACCCTTGCTCTAGGCCAATCAAATTGCAGAAATTTCTCATGTAGTAGTATAATAGCAAGAATACACAAAAAGCCACTCGAAAGATGTTATCCTACCCAAAAAATGCCACTGGGAGAGTGTTATTCGCCGAATCCGAGCACCCTCTGCGAACCTCATCCTCAGCCTCTTCAAATAATTGTTCAAAGTTCAATATACTTACAGATTGAACATCTGAGTGGTCGGAATGAAGAGTTGCGTCATGAGTTGCACAATGCAAGAGAAGAGACTGCTAAATCTATTATGCAATTGGAGAGGAAAAACGCCAAGGTACGTGGATCCCTTTGTAACCTTTGAAATAAACCAGTAATTATTATATCGAACACAAGAAACCGTTTTTCCACTCATTATGCAGAATCCGAGACGGCATGTCAAAAACCGAGGTGCGAGATTTCTTTTAAAGAAAGATTTGAGTATGTTGAATTTTATATACCATAGGATTTCGTCCACGGATTTAAAAGTTAGCGTAACAATTATCTCGCCATATTTTGGCCTTGGTGTGAATGGGTTTAAAGGGCCATTTTTTAAAAGATAAACTTTTTCTTTTTTTTCTCTTTGACTTTTGGAAGATTGAAGATCTCGAAAAGGAAGTGAAGGTCTTAAAAGAAATAGGTAAGATTTGTGGCGATAACTTACAGTTAGCCTTGAACGGGTAGCCTGTGTGTTTGTGCAGACCCTTCCAGTTGGTATATTGGGACTAAGCGCGAGACTGGGTTAGTGTTGTGTCGAACTGCACTGTGAAACTGTTCTGGTGATGCTATCCGTTCTCTTATTGGCTAACAAGAGGTTGCCCCAAACATGATAATAAAATAAATAAATAAACATATAATGATTTGGAGGTAGCACATCCACGAAGTGGTTCTTCGTTTACCTGATTCCTGGTCGAATTGGACTTTGAAAATGTTAGTTTTTGAGGAGAGGGGAAAACCGGAGTACCCGGAGAAAAACTTCTCGGAGCAAAGGAGAGAACCAACACCAAACTCAACCCACATACGGCGTCATCGCCGGGAGTTGAACCCGGACCACGTTGGTGGGAGGCGAGCGCTCTCACCACTGCGCCATCCCTTGCTCCCCAACAGTCCTTTATTGCAGTTTGACAAAACACCGACCCAGTGTGAAGTAAAGGAAAGGAGGCTTCTTGACGCATGCTATGAGAAGGTTGTGCATTGTTTTTTGGATGTTTGGTACAATTTAAGTCGTTAATAGGTTGGTAAGTATATTAACTCCTGTATATTATGTGTTTCAGGTGAAGGCGTAGTGAAGCTTCAACCTATGCCTCTGCCGCAAGGAATGACACCTTCGTCAACAGAGATCATCGCCAGTCTGAATGAGCATCTCATACACGTACTCCAGGTTAGAAAGTGCGACGTAGCAATGACTTAACGTTACGGGGAAATGTTGTTCTTGTGGTAGACGCTCCTTTTTATTCCAGTAGGAAAACAACATTTACCTTTACACGTCTAACCATTTGGCACTGTCGCAGTATTTTTGCCTTCTGTCAGAGTATTGATTTCTTGATCTGTTGGATAACGTCGGATGAGTCAATCGTGGTTGACTTGACAATCATGGATTCCTTCAAAAGTTGCACCTCTAATGATTTGAAGGAAAAGTTAACTTTTACAATGGCAGTGCTTTGATTTTCCGTATTTTTGTAGGAAATATCACTAAAAGAAAAGTTGCTAGTGAAAATGGAGAAGGACCTTGAATTGTTCAAGCGAAAGTTCTCTGTTATTCTTCATCAAAAGGTAATGTTTTGCTTTGAATGGGCCTTTCGATATATTCAGATTCATTCTTGTTACCAAACTGTAGCTGAATAAAATAAAAATAAGCTATTCACCTCTAAACGCAAAGTGATTTTTCATGTTTTCATTTTCTTTTGCTCTATACGACTCGAGCCAAGTTTGAAAATATATCGAAATGGGCCTCTTTCTCTCTGATTTGTTATGCTAATAGCTGAGAAATAACTTTTCAAGCCTGGAAAGCCGTATTTTTCTTGTGTTATACTGAAGACAATTAGTCTTACATGGGAGAGGAACATGACCCTAAATCAACATGGAAAATATAATAGTTAGAGAAAAATCGTCGAACAGTCCAGATCACTGTCGCCAGTTGTCGTTTTAGAATTATCGACGGTGTAAGACTGTTGAGTAATAAAAAGTAGCTCGCTTTTGTGGCAAGGAATGACACCATCATCAAAGACTTTAAATGCTTTCGACTCCGAAAAGATATTTTTAAGACCTTTGGAACCCTAAAGGGAAAGAGGAATCGCTGAAAATTCTGAATCAGATTAGGATAAATACTGGCTTAACGTTAGGTCATATTTTCCCAACGACACGTGAACGCAAAACCAAATGTGTTGTTGTTTTAGGGTCTTCTTTATTCTGACTACTTGAGAGAAAAGGAAAAATGGGAAGAGGAAAAGAAGGGGATTGAAGAAGAGAAGACAGCAACAGAGTTAGCCAGAGAACATGACAAGATAAGGCTGCTGGAGTTTGAGTTGAATTTGGTTGTTGTGCGTGACTCGAACGGTGTTGTGTCAAATTGCATTATGGGATGCTTGTTTGAATGGGTATTACGAGGTTACTTAGGAAACTGGGTCAAAATGTGGCACCCAAACATTCCTACAGTGCAATTTGACACAGCACCGACCCAGTCTCAAACTGGCTAATAGAGACCTTTTGATTCGAGGACGAGAGTTAACTTAAAGGTGTTTTCGCGTATTCTCACGAAAAGAGATCCAGGAAAGCTTCTTTTTACTTTTTTTTACCATAAAAGTTAACACGATTATTTTTATTGAAGGAGGTTAAGCCCTCTGCCGATCGCAAAATGATAAAACGTCTAACATTTGATGACTTGTTTCCGCCACTACGACATTCTCCCTAAACCTCGTAGTAGAATGACGACGGCTATCACGTTTTCCCGCCAAGATGACGCTGGTTCACGCGGGTGCACTTCTTAGTATTGAGAAAATCTCGTACTCGAAGTCGTACTCGCCTTAGAATCTAAAGGTCTCTAATAGTGTTCTACTGTATAAACGTGTATAAGTAAAATATTCATCCAGGATTCCCCCCATGTTTTTGTTGGACATGGTGTTTAGGAACATTCAGGACTAAATTCCAGGAAATTTTCCCAGACCCTGGAAACTTCTTGTCTTGCTAGAAGACTCCTAAACTTTCTTTTTATCACAATCCTCCAGGAAGAATGTGTCGTAGCAAGTGGTGGAGAAATATGACTCGGTGTCGTTTTTTTTCCATTGGAAAAGTAATTTGCGTTTTGGACGCGTTCTAATTAGTCGTAGAATCTTCGCCTTTTGGATCCTTTGAATTTTCTCCCACTTGTTTCACTCTTTCGATAGCAAAAACCCTGAACTGGGGACAACTTCAGTTACGCTTATGAAACGTGCCTAACGTCACAAAAGTTGACAGTATGAGGCTCATTACTTGCTTGACAAGCCGTTGCTGTCGCCAAAATTTATGCATTCTTATAACAGGAGGCAGCGTGGCCGAGTGGTCAGCGCGTCGGACTCAGAGTCCGGCGGCCCCGTGTTTGAGTCCCGCTCTGGCTATAGTTGCTGGATTTGTTCTTGGTCGTCCAGAGTTCAAATCCTCGGCCATGCTTGTAAATTAATAGCCAACTGGTTTGCCTCCGGCCAGTTGGCATTTTTAATCAAGTAATGTTCTATTTGCATTATTTGTTTTCAGTTGAGTGGAATACCTGTGGACTAGCTGGATAAGCTAAGTGCACTTTCCACTGGCGATAAACAAACCTTTAATCTTTTTTTTTAAACAGAGGTTACTTGATACGCTTGATAAAGACGAAGATAAACAGAGGAAGCGCCTGGGTGAGATGACAAGGAAAATAACAGTTCTGAGAGTAAATGAGAAATCACTGTCCAGAAGATATACCGCCATGCAGGAGGTCGAGGCTGCTCTTAGAAAAGAAAACAAGAAATACAGGAATGATGTGGTTGCTATGGAGACGGCCATCACAGAACGGCTGGGTTACCTACAGAGACACAAGGTATTCTTTCAGTTTTTTAATTTTTTTTATTTTCCCTTTTTTTCTGACTTTTTTTTTCTCTTGGATATTTTCTTTGTCAGTGGACTAATGAATGCAAAAACATCTCGCTCGTCCCCGTGGTCTATCACCGGGCAGCTTCGAAGCTCTCCGAACGAGTTGTTTAATTAGCTAATGAAGCAATAGATGAATGACCGAAACAATTTCCGTAGCCATAAAAACAAGACCGGGTGTGTTTTCAAAGGCTTATAAAGATCGAAATTTGTGTTAGCTTCAGCGATGCAGTTTAATCCTGTTAATGCCATCTCGATAATCGGTTATTGCGTTACATTTTACCACTTTGAAGCGGACTATCCAGTTTCTAGTTTCAGTTCATTCACGTCGTCGGGAATGTCTAAGTCTTTCTACCTGCTTATTTTACAAGTTTTGTTTTCCGCTTTTTTACTATTCATTTCGTGTTCTTTAAGAAGCAGAAAGAATAGTCTAGCTTCTATTGTTTGTTTATTTGCTTTTTTCAGGAAATGTCAACGTACAAGATAAGTGTGCTTCAGCGATCGCTGGATGAGAGTGTTCCAGCAGCAGAGCTCGAGGCAGCTAACAAACAGTACAATGAACTCACCGAGAAGTATCGTGACATTATACAAAGAGAGAATAATCTGGTAGCACGGTCTGCTGCAGTTGACAGTTTAGAGGTACGATTTTTCGTTTCTTAAATTGTTTCCAGTGCTTTTGCAGGTGCTCTTTGAGAGCCTGATCGTGTTGGGGCGTGGATACCAGATAGCTCTTGCGCCGACACGACACCCTATCGCATAGGGCTTTTGTTCACACATCAGAACGGTGATTTCGGCGCGATTTCTGTAACGGAGCGAAGCTGCGCCCTTCCGATGTTTATAGTGGAGCGTCACATAGCGGATAGTTTTGGTGCCACGCTTCGGTGCAGTATGAACAGGCATTAGGACCGTAGCGGACGTTAATAGATAGTAGCCAGGACTGGACTCTGTTGAGACGGAAGTAAATTTTCAGGAGGTAGGACTGGGATTTGGTTCACAAAACCCTCTTGGTCAACCGCTCTTGCACGATGTTGGATGTGTGTGAACGACTTGTTCAGTTCTGTACCGTTGCTGTTCATACTATACTGGATACTGAGCTTTTCGTGCCGGCACGAGGCTTGGCAGGACTCAACAGAGCTCGGATCTAGCCGAGAAGGGGGTACCCAGGGTACTAACCTGAGATCAGGCCCAATTTGAGCGGTTCTCATACATTTTGCGGAATGTAATTTTCAAAGCGAAACGAAAATAGAGCCTGATCTCAGGTTACCAGGGTACCAGAGGGTTTTTCTTGCGTGCGATAAGGAGCTTCCGACACGAAGGCCGAAGACACGAGAAAAGCCTCTTGTACTCAGGGTAAGAAGAGAGCTTCACTTTCCGTCTTCTTCCGGCGCGTTTGTCTCTTTCTTTCGCACTTAACAATAATAATAATAATAACAATAATAATTAAAATTTGTATAGCGCCTATCCAACCCTGCTCTAGGCGTTTTACACAACATTCGAAACAATTAAGTAAAAATTAACATTCCAAACCAATTAAATAAATAATAAAATAGTGAATAAATTAAAACTGAGATAAAAATGGCCATATTAACAGTAATAAGCTTCCCTAAAAAGATAAGTCTTAAGGAGAGGTTTAAAAGTACTTAAATTATCACATGAACGGATGTTGTCAGGTAGACTGTTCCATAGGTCAGGAGCGGCGACAGCGAAGGCTCTAGACCCATAGGTCTTCATATTATAGATAACAGGATTCAGGCGTAGTGAGCGTAGTTAACATGCTCGCTCGTGTTCATGCGTGTTAGTTTAAAATCCGAGTTTGTGTTCCCTTAGGTGGACAATAAAGCCTTAGAAGAGACAAATACTGAGCTCAAGAAAGAGATGACGTCACTAAAAGAACGGAACCACAGCCTGGAACAAATGTTAAACGAACTCTTAGCGAAAGGTTACTTTTTGCATTATTTGATATTATAGTGTCATTCATTTATTTCCTGAATAAAACGTATTGCTATTAAGATTGACTGGAAAGAGCAACTATGCAGCGATGAACACACAATGCGCACCCGACCTTGCATTCTGGGCGTTTATTTTCCAAAGTGTTTAAAGTAAAACCTGGGGTGAAATAGTTCCATTCGTTACCGTCTACTTCCGTCTTTGTTAATCGCAGTAGGTATTTATTTTTCAGAGGGGGGAGAGGGTGGAGGAGACGGTGGTGTTGTGAGACAAGAAGAGATTGACAGAATATCAAGAAAACTTGCCACACTGGAAATGAAGGTACAGCCGAGATAGACCTTATTTGGTACAATTTTTAAGACGGTTGGAGTGCAGTTAGTTTGGAGAGACCTCGAGGGTAGGACAATTTACCGACTAAAATCTTGAAATCAACGTTTAAAATACCCAGATTTATATGCGAGCTATAGCAAAACTGTGGAAAATATAAGTAGAGTCAAGTCGATCTCATATCATTAACGAAGTAAAAGGTCTAAAACATGATTTAATATTGCCTCTCGAGAGGTATTCCTTAAAGAAATTGCTTCTTTATCAGTCCAATTATAAGACTAATACGCATTTCCTTGTGAGCGTTTGAATGTTTTATATTTGAATTCCCTATTTCTTTATACTGATAGTCCAAAATGTGAGAGTGACTGTACGTAGCAGAGAAGAAAGTTAGTGAGCTGACTAAGCACGAGTAACAGAGTGAAAGATTTAATTTTATACATAATATACATAAATGTACATACATTAGTTTATTTTGCTACTGTTGGTATTCGTTTTAAATCTTTACATTTCCAGGAACTTAATGAAAGAGAGCGCGCAGAACATGCCACTAGGAAATATGACCAGCTGCAGTCGCTGATCAAGGAATTGGAAGAAAGGAACGCAGAGCTAGAACAAAAATTTGCAGAGGTTTGGTTTGTTCATATTTTGTTAAAAAGAGACCGCGCTGACTGTATTATAGAAAGTGTGATATAGAGAGTTTTCACTCACATGGCCAGCAACCATTTACCGCGATAAAAGAAAGCGTTTACATTTGAAAGGAGTTCAACTCCCACAGGATTGGTTTGGGATTCCAACATGGCGCCGGACATGACGTGGAAAGGCTCTATTCGCTGTTTTATTTTTTTTTTACCTGAAAACTGGTTATATTGCACATAACAGACATAACAGACCGAAGAAAGCAAGACAGAGTGAAAAAAAACAACAACAAAAAAACAATACACAGAGTGGAACAAAAAAAAAGGCAAAAAGCAAAGAGCAAGAGTGGGCACTTAATAAATTACTTTTGTTTGTTTGTTTGTTTTATAATTAACTAATTCCGTTCCAAACGTTTGTTCAATCGTGTTCTCAAAATCTGGAACCCCAGATGTTCTGCAAGGTAAAAGCGTTTTTGTTTCTTCTTTTCACCAGATAAGCAAACTAAATCTTGAGTCGCAGCGAATAGAGCGGCAACTACGGGAAGAGCTTTCCAGTAAGTGTGAAGTTTACTACTAGTGTTGTCACCATTGAGGAAATTTAGGTTTATTTCCATTCACTACCATGTGGCCTTTTGATTTTCCATGGCTTTTCCTCTCTTCTTTCTCTTTTTTGTCACTTTCTCTTCTCTTTTCTAGACTCTGTCACGCAAGACACGCACGCAGCTGTGACCCGCCGTGTCCAGTCATTGGAGGAATCGGAGTCTCACCTGAAGGTGGAAGTGTCACGGTTGAAAGAAGTAGCGGAAGTGGCGTCACACCAGACGGAAGCCATCAAGGCTCAGCAGGAGTCACAGGATAAAGAGCTGACGTCACTCAGAAAACAACTGTATGATATACAGATGGAGAGTGATGACAAGACTATTATAGGTTAGTCAGAGTATCTTGTTTTTTTTTTCACAGTTTGTGTCAACTCTCCCTTAACTAACACCTCTGTTAGGTAGAAACCTACAGTACTTAATGGGGCGCAATTTTGAAAATGGAGGCCAGTGTTTGGAAAAATTTGCATCTCCTCTGCACTGAAATCTTCTTGAAAACTCTTTGACTGTTACCTGAATTCTTCTTGAAATTTATAACCGAAAAAACAGCACGAACCCTGGAAAAAGAAACAAATCTGTCGTTGTCTGTTTACATCCAACCTAAGACATCGCTTTATTACATTTCTTAATAGAGAGAATTTCTTAATAGCTTTTAGCTCTGGATACTTGGCACCAAGAGAATAAATGATCAGACTATTTGTCGAAATTAAAAAAGTACCACTAAGACAAGACAGTACTGTTTTGCAGCCCTCGTCTGAATTTTCAGCAGGGAGAAGTGGTTCTTATCACTTGATCTTGTTAAGGACAATTTGTATTTCTTCAATAGTTGAGGAGCAATAGTAATATTTTCAGGCAAACTGCATCATCATATCGTTGCACTACAAGTGAGTGAGGGCACCGCTGTACGGAAGCTTGAGGCTGCAACACAGAAGCTGGCTAAACAAGAAGCGCATTTGTTGCGTCTGGAGCAGAAGATCGACGAAAAAGATCAGGCTCTTTATCATGCTAAAACAGAGGCCAGAAACAAGGCGAAGTTTCTTAAAAGAACTATACAGGATCTGCGGAGGCAATACAGCGGTGCATTGCCGCTTATGAAGCAGGTAATCACGAATATCTTCTTCCGTATATCAGATTAAACTTTAGTATAGAAAATTCCCAAACTCAAAGAAACGATTACGAACGAACGAGACGAATATTTCGTCCGACTTGCTCGAACTTCATCAGCGTTATATACTCCTGTTGCAGCACTTTCCTGCCACTGAACACTGCACTTTCCTGCCATTTCAGGTGGAGACGTATCCTGAATCAATCTGTATTCAGCAGTAATTTTAAAACTGAAAAGGGCTTTTTATCAAATAAATAGCATCATTTAGTTTTCTTTTCCTTTCCACCATCAGGAAAAGTTTGCAGACACCATGCGGTCACTACAGGAAGATAAACGCAAACTGGAAGGAGAATTGAGGAAAGCTAAGACTGACAGAGAGGCTGCAGAGGATAAACTGGCCGAACTTAAACTTCAACATGAGGGCTTGCAAGAGCTTATGGCTACCCTTAAGGATGGTAAAGGAGCTGCTAAAGTGACCGAATGGCACGCCAAGATGGGAGAGATACGACTGCAGGATCTCAAGCTAAACCGAGCTATCACCAGGTTACAGGAAGAGGTATGACCTTAATATCTGTCAGTTTCCTGAATGTCCTCTCGTAGTCAAAAGCGCCTTTCCTAGTTCCCAAACCAAAAACTGCTTTTGCGCAGGGCCGATGTTCACCCCACAGTGCTTTGCGCGCACTACATTGAGTTCCTCAAGTCGCCGAGTGTGGGTGGGCTATAAACACAAACAGAGTCGACTATCCATCGTGCTTTATTTCGACAAGTTTCGTAATTTATATGTCTGAGGGCTTTGTGTGATGTTTTCTCTTCAGTTCTATCGATACAATAAAAACCTGCATTTTCTCAAGTTTATAAGCCTAAACAGGTTCTTACTAAAGTGGTAATTAGCACAAATTTAAGCTATTTAGGTTCTTAAGTACATTGTTGTTAAGAGTATTTAGTGGTATTCATCTTATTCCTCATTTAAGAAAAAGCAAAAAACGGCGTATCATTACATTGCAGTTGGAGTTCAGTAGGCTCGAGTACCAGCTGCTGTTCTGATCCTGCACTCCTCCCCCGAAGGGAGCTTAAAGCAAAGGCTCTTTTGAGCAATGCACGTCAACCGGAAGTGAGGTCTTTTTCATTTTAAAGCACCTTGACGCTACCAAATTTGTATTTCTAAGTGTCTTTACCATTAAAGGGACGATTTGTCCAACCATTTGGGCAAAACCACCGTCCAAAAATGATAAAAGAGTTTCGTAACGTCACATGAATTGAATTCACGTCACTGAAACGATCGGTCTAACCATAGTTTGTGGAGGAGACTGGTTAGGAAAGCCGGCAAATATCAAAGTTGAAAACAATGGTGCTGTAGTTTACGTTGCAAGCTCCCTGACCCACAATCCTTTGTTTTTTGTTCACAAATTGTGACTGAATGAATTAGTGCGATGTTTCTATTGGTCAGAAAGTTCAAAATGATAGGAATGGTATTGAACCTTGTGCACGGTCAGGTCCAGAAAAACACATAACAAAAAAACATATAACAAAAGAGTCTAATGCGTTTCATAAGCATTCCACTTTAATAACTATGGTCTAACCGTCTCTTCTCGGGGAGAAACGACACCAGACTAGATAGAGCGGCGAAAATCTAGCCTCTCTGAACCATACCATTGCGTTGTGGTAATTCTTGTGTTCGTTCATGTTATTACCCAGATGAAGTACCTGGAAAACATTGTGAAGGTCCACGAGCGAACAATCTCTGATTTAGAAGATGAAAACGTTCATTTGTCGAAAGAACATGAAGAACGACAGTTGATATGGGAACAAAGAGAGGTGGAGCTTGAGCGAATGATTGACAAGTTAGAAAAACAGCAAGAACAGCTAGCAGACGCGGCTGCTAAGTTTGAAGAGGCTACTGGTTCGATACCAGACCCCAATCTTCCGGTGGCCAATCAACTGGAGTTGGCAATTCGAAAAATCAAGGAACACATTAGGATTATAGTGGGAACCAGAGAAGAAAACAAGCAACTTAAAAAGGTATGGAATGACATTATTTGTAAAGTTCTGGAGGTGTGAGAAAGAAACACATATAGGATATTACATGGCCGCGCGGAGATACGAAATTTCTCTTCGAGTGTTGAAACTTATTTCACGACAGATCGCAGCGAACGAGTGAAATATTTTTCAACACGAGACCATTTAAAAAAGACCAAACCATTTCACTTAAAATAGTTTTCAACTGTGAAAGGCGCGATTTATGATGTATTCATAGCAACAGTGATCCTTTCACATGTGAAAATATCATTATGTTTTCACGCGAAAGCTCACGTAGTATTTCATTAGTGTTTATATAATAAAGTAAAATATGTCTTACGTTGTAGTAAGTGATCGAAAAATATTGTTCTGCTTTTGAAAGATCCAGGTACTTCTGAATGCATTTGTACTCTACAACCACATAGTTAATATTCTCAAGTGGACGTAATCATCATAAATAGCTTTTTATATAAATATTAAATGGTATGTTACGAACGTGGAGTTATTTCGTGGTGCGGAAAGTGAGACAATGTCTTTGTACAACAGAAATACAGTGAACTGGATCAAGCTTTCAAGCAGTCTGAAGAAAGGCTAACCCAGAAAGACAAGGTAATGTATGAAGTGTAAACTGTATAAACACTTTTTTCTTACAAGACGTATATTATCGATAACTAAGAACATATTTGACGTTCCACGAATTATATCCAGCCTAACCATAAAAGCGTTTCTTTGAAAAAATGCAGGTACTGAGAACTTTGAGCTTCTTTTGGTAAATACTAAAACATGCGGTAGACTTCCTTTTCACTACAGCTCAAAGATGGGCAAGTTATAGGTTCACCGACTTCTGACTCATCTTTGTGTTGCGTCATGTCCTTTCTAGCATTGTTTAGGGACGGACCATTAGAAAACTGCGGCTCAAAAATTCCCCACCCCCCACCCCCATAACTTTTCTAACGGTCTGTCCCTTAGGTGATGTGCTCTAAGTGCGTTAAAATGTGCATCGAACCACAAGCTGTTTTTTTTTTCATTTTTAGCTTATTAATGAGCTTCGCCTTCGTCTTCCTCTGTCTGACCGCGAGGAAATCACTTTGGAAGCGAAGAAGGCGGCAGGGCTAACAGAAGAAGATTATGAATCCAAACGGGCTCTGAAAGTGGCACAAGCAACTGTGTCTAGTCTGCAGGTATGTATGAACCTTTTCGTATTTCACATGTACACTTGTCGCATCATATCCTTTATCCTGGCCATTGGGAAACCGGTGACGTGAAGGTGTCGCAATTATCTTTACCGAAGATATACTTTTTTCAGCGATAAAGGGAGGCAAGAATATGTTTGGAACTAGTTCAAAGAAATTTTGCGGGGTGTTTTGTTTGTGGTGAAGTGTTTCTCTATAGGAGTTCCAGTTTGCTACAATATTATAAATAGCCCTGACCATTTATGGGCGATTTTGAGGTTGCATGTGAGACTAGGTGAAATTTGGTCATATTGCACAACGAGGCTCCTTTGGGGACACCTACCAGCGTTCTTCTGTTGGCTAGTACGAGTTTGCGCAAGAAACTGGGTCAGAATTTGTCACCCAAAACAGTCCCATGGTGCAATTCGAAACAACATCGACCCAGTCGCTAGCGGTCCTTCACTTGCGACTTTCACTTTCCCCGTGACACAATTTGTTTTTCCCGCAAAATTTTGTTTAAACATTGTTTTCAATTTTGTTTTGGGAGTAACAATCGTGCCTTGAGAATTTGAAAACAAAACTTATGCAAAATTTTGTGGGGTAGAGAAATTACTTTATGGAGAACGAGAAAGTCGCAGGTAATGCCCAATTAAGTTCCCATTGCCTCTTTTTCACCTTTCTCCCACCCTTTCGTTTGCCTGCGGCGCAGGCTTTAATTCTTTTTAATATTGATTGTTGCTTGAATTTCTTTCAACGTTTTAGCAAATGCTTGCGCACAAGGAAGAGTCGTTGGCTAAATACCAAGAGATGCTGAAGGAAGCAAGAGAGGTAGCTTAATTTAACAAACACATTTTCAGCGCGTTAAATGTCAACGAAGGTGTTCTTCTTTATTTGCGAGCTTTGGCGTAGCTCTTCCTGTGGATAAATTGCTCTGAAGATGGGCTAGCGCTCGAACTTTAAGTTTGAATCTTTACACGCTGGATATTATACTTTATGAACAAAGTTTTAGTGCGAAAATACGGTTCGTCGGCTATTAGCCTGAACCAGCCAGCCTTCAGATATTAGGGACTGCGTAGATAGAACGGAGAGGGAAAAAACGGCGACGGGGTCAGGGAGGGAGGGGGCACTCCGCATCTGATTTGTCGCCGCTCCCCACGATCTGAACACCTGGAACAGGTTATCCTAAGTGTAGTGGTGTCAGATGTGATTAGGACGCTGGAAAACGGGGCTAAAACATAATGACAAGACATATGTTCACTGACATATTTTTTACTGGCCCTGTTGTTCAAAGCTGGATTTATCCATTGTGTTTCATGGATGTATTCAGGAAACTAATTCTCTATCCACTGGAATTTACGGTGGATAGCCCTATCAACCCAACTGGGTTCATCTAATTTGATTGTTTCATGATCCATGTTGATTAATTCCGTTCCAACCCGCAATCCCTTGATTCCTTAAACCCTTGGTTAATTCGCTCTGACTAAGGGCTAGGGCTATGCCGCGACAATTTACCTTGGGTAAAACATATTTTCGCATAGTGTATGCTGGTGTTGTTTGTTTACATCCTGGTAACATTTATTATAAATAAATAAATAAACAAATAAATAAATAATGATTTGGAGGAAGCACATCCACGAAGTGGTTCTTCGTCTACCTGATTCCTGGTTAAATTGGAATTTGGATATGTTGGTTTTTGAGGAGAGGGGAAAACCGGAGTACGGAGAAAAACCTCTCGGAGCAAGGGAGAGAACCAATAACAAACTTTTTTTTTTTTTTTCAGGAGGCAAAGACACAATCCGAGCAGCACAAAGCAGAAATCCAGCTTCTTCAGGACAGATTGCACTTGGAGACTGATGAAACGTTCAGAAGAAAGAAAACTTTTCACATGGTTGGTTCATGGTGCTAAATGTACAGGCGCTGGTTTCTTTTTTGGCCTTTTGTGGCAACTAATGCAACTGATGTTTTCAATTCTTTTTTGTAATAAAAAGCTTGATTTGTAGTAGAACAAGGTTTGAGTATCTACAGAAAACCCTGGCCGGGACACATGTCTCATTATTCATGTGACTAGAACGTGACGAAATATGAAAGATAGAATGATATTTTTAAGTACGATCAACAGGATATGCATTGTTGCAATGTACAGTTGTAAATTTTAGAAATTCTGGCTAACCGCGATCACAGCCAATGCAGACAACAACTCTTCGCTACTCTTAAGACAATATAGCATCCTTTTAAAGAGGAATTCTTAATGTATTCTTCCATGAGTTTATTCTATTGTATTCGTGTTTATCACACCATATTTTGGAATCTTTGTATTCTTTCATCATTCACCCGTTGCGACTGTCGAAAGCTTGTGTCTTTTAATAATCTTAGCCAAAGAACGTTTTTTAAAAAATTTTAATAAAGTCAAAGTTTAATGTGTGGCTACAGATGACTGTATGAAGTGTGTGGTCCATTCCATGTAACTAACGGACTTTTACGATTGATTTTCAGGACTCAGTTAGTGGAGATGGTCCCCCAGTTCCAACACACAGACAGGTTTGTAAAGCCCTTTTACATCCAGTAGTTCTACAATCTGTTGGAAGAAAAGTCGGTTACAAATAGTTGTTCTTGTTGTTGTTCTTGTTGTTTCTGTTGACCCCCTCCTGCTAAAACAACTTATTTTACTTTAAGTGTTTTTTCCAGTCTATGTTGTGTCCAGTCTTAAACTTTCGGCTTACTTTTAATTTCAGTTGTCGCGATTGTCCGAGCTGGAGGAGATGGTTGTTGAACAAGACAACGCTTTAGCTGTAGCAGCAGAGAAATACAAGAAATCACGGAGTGAAATCAATAGAATGAAGAAAGAAAACGAAGAACAAGTTAACAAACTCAAACAGGAAATAGCTAGGTCATTATCTGTGTTTCGTGTTACCTTTTTCGGGGGGGTGGGTGGGGGGGGGGGGAGTCGAAACTTAGGTCACTCAGACTTCAGACTCACGGTCGTTTACATTTTCAATATTCTGTCTGACTCGCTAACAAATTTTTCCCTTGTTCTTTTTACATAGTGGGAAGAAGACGTAGGAATGTAAAGAATATTCTTTTAATTCTTGTGATCTTTGACTGGAATTGATGGCGATTTTAATTTTTTTTTTACCGTTAGCCTTCAAGAACATATTGCGAAAACATGTGTGACTTGGCATGTTTGTTAAGACCATGGTTTTTAAAAACTAAATCTGTGCATAACTCAGTGAAGTGGGCTATACCTGCTTAAAGGGAACGAAATTTCAGTCAGTTTCGTTGTCATTAATAGTGTCATTGCTAAGAGTCGAACCTTTGAAGTTAGACTGAGAGGACTTTACGTACCTAACTGCGTCATTGAAACTACACCTCACATTTTTTTTTAATCCGTCAATAATAATAATAATAATATTTAATATTGTTTGTTTTTTACTAAAAAATATTCCCAAGATCAACCCATATCTAATTCACGATAATGTTTGTTTGTTTACAAAACGTTTCCATATTCCCTGAAGATCCAACCTGGTGAGATAAATAATTCGAAGCTCAGGGCCTAATCTAACTTTTTAGTACAGTATGCAAAGTTTTCTAGAAAATTTTTTTTTAGCAAACTGGTGAGACCAGTAAAAGGTTTCTTTCCCTTTGTTTGGGAGACATGGATGATTCCAACTCGTCTTTGCTTATAAGAGGAGCTCGCAGATTATCAAAATCACTCGCATTTTGCGAGTTTGCGAGCATTAATTTCTAGCCCTGAAGCTGTTTATTTCTCTTACAGAAAAGAGGAGGAACATTTAAAGGAAAGGAACAAACTCGCCAATGAGAAACTGGAACGAGATGAACGAATAATGGAACAGAGTAAAGAGGTAGCTTTTTGTGCTCTAAATTTGCCCGCTAAACCATCTGAAGTTACAGCGGATCGACGTATACATATCATACTTAACAGTGAAACTTCCAGTTTGTCCAGATGTCCTCCTACAGTCTTCTGGTATGAATACCCGACGTATGTACTGGGTGGTGACACGTCATCGATATGGAATTTCTGCGCTCGTATCTCAGACTCATTTCGCTGGCAAACCAGTGGTGACGTCGCAAAATGTTAGCTTGCGAGCAAGCTCTCCTATTTGGGCGAGTGAAGCGAGTCTCGCGAGAACGCGCGAGCGAGCGGCGAAGCACCTCGTTCGCGCGTTCTCGTGAGGCTCATTTCGCTAGCCCAAATTGGAGAGCTTGCTCGCAGGCTACAAAATGTGGGCTGTTTTCACAGGCTGGAACACGAGCTCAACAAAATTTATGAGGCACGAGACTATTGCGTAGCTCTTTAATGACACGAGGCAGCATTAGTTTAACCACATGTTTGTTAACATGTACATTTTACCTGTAGATTGAAATATTAAAAGACGAACTAGAGACAGCAAAGGAAGCAGCACAGCGAGCGCCCAGTAAAACCATGAAGCATCTGGTAGAAAGACTTCGCAACCAACTGGCTCTGAAAGAGAAACAACAAAAGGTAATTATGTGGTACAGTCAAGCCCCGTTAACGCGGACCTTAAGGGGGCTTTATTTCCCCAGGGAGAAAACAAACTGTCCGTAATGAGGAGGTGTCCGTATTAAGCAGGTGTCCGTTAAGCGGGGTTTGACTATATACTTTGGTATATAACTGACTTTGTTATACAAAGACATCTTTCTGTTGTTGCCATGGCAATAAACAATATACAGTTAACCATAACCACTACGCATAAAGGTAATAGCCCATTCCCTAAATAACCTTCACCTCTTTGTCAGAGCGAGGCCTGGTGCACAACTGTTCATATCGAATAAGTTTCAACAGGCTCCTGGTTTCAATCGCATGTGAATGAAAACTTATTTTAATGTGAAATGTTGAACACCAAAACTCATTTTGAAAGAGAGGGTAAACGTAATTTGCAAATAGCCTGTTTGGCAGAAATACAATTTTGGAAACTATTTAACTACCACATAGCTGGCGAGCAAGCACTCAGTTTGGGGGACATCGTGAGAGGTCACGCGCGAATGACACGCGAAAGGAGAAGCGGAGCAAGCTTTGTCGCTCGCTCGCGCGTTCCAGCGCGACTCGGTTCGCTCGCCTCTCGATACAGAGAGCCTACTCTCAGGCTACCTACCATAAGGGTTGAGCAGCAGATTCCTTTTGTGTGATTTGTGAGTGTTGATTTGCATCAAAGAATTGAAACCTCTATTCGCGTGGTTTACCTTCCTCCCTTCATACGCAGTCATTAGTATACAAAAGAATTAAAGACATCTAATTTTCGTGCAACCATAGACCCTGGAATTTATGAAAGATATTTAACACGACTGTTTTTTTTTCAAACTTCAGTCGCTGAGTCAAGCTCTTCTTCAGCTCAGAGCTGATATGGTGACAACAGCAGAGGAAAACGTTCAGGTGGGTTGGCGGATTTTATTAAATTACCTCACACAATGACAAGTGACAAGGCCAATTTTTCTCAAGATGATTGTAGAAGATAACGACGATGGTTTAACATTACGATCTAGTTCACGTCTTTTAAAATAACCCCACGTATTTGTTTCGATTCAGGCTCACGCTAGAAAAGCAGAACAGGAGGCCAATGTACAGCACATTGTAGACAAAGAGACCGCTGGATTGCAGGTTTGCTATGCTTGTCGCGTTATAATCACTTCTTGTATCGCAAAAAGACAAGCGATCCTCCGGTAAAACCTTCCAAGACCTATTATTTTATTGTCAGCTCTGTCTTACAGGACACTTATTTGGGCGGACACTAGTCAGCGGGTTTTGTGTGACTGTAACTGAACTTTTAATATCTTGTCTAACGCCATCGGATGTTACAGTCCCGAGGGAATCGGATTTAGAGCCGATTGGAGTTGTATGATGTTTTTATGGGACATTTTTTCATACGTTACCTCCGGTTTGCTTGACACTCAGCTAGACGTGAACATGACGTAATCTTCAATGGCAACCCTGACCGTAAGCGTGACTCAATCAGCTTTACTGGCCATAGACCCTCCCCAAAGGGATGGGGAAGAACGAGACTTACAGATCGCATGCGAGTTACCCTCCCCACCCAATACCACAACCCATGTCGCTGTCACTGTGCCTTTGGTTTCTTTTGCGTCCCACAAGAGTTGGTTCAGAGAAGTAGTTTGAGACGGGACCTACGAAAATTGGTTCTTTTTCGAGAAGACTGAAATGCCTACCGTACTATTTGCAGATACGAAACAAAGGCAGCACATCCAACTTATTTATTTTTTTAAGCGCTAAGTGCTGGTCCGGCCAAGAATTGAATCGGGGCCTACCGTTCCGAAGTCTGATGTTCGACTAGTTGAGCTAACCAGTCGGTGGTCAAGATGCTTTGTGCCAATTTGCCTATTTTTCTTGTGCATTTCGCTTGAAGGCACGTATCGAGGAGCTCCAAGAGAGAATGGAGAAACTCAAAAAAGAGCTGAAGAAACAAAAAGACAAGGAATCGTCGTTGCTAGAGGAAAAAGACAAGTTGAAGCAGGTACCACGACAATGTCCAACTTTTATTCTTGAACGTACTTTACACATGAGAAAGGAGCAAGTGCTCATAGACACTGAAAATAAATGTTTGTTATTCCCCACTCGATTTCTCCAGTGGTCTTGTAATTGCTATCTTAGGCCGAGACCAAACGTCGAACTTTTTGTCAGAGACGAAGCAAACTCTAATTTGGGTCGACCTAAATTAAGTTAAGCTCGTCTGTTGGGTCAGACGTGGAACTTAGAACTCGTCAAGCCAATCAACTGAATCAGACCAAAAAGCAATTTTAATAAAGTTTCTCCCGTACGAGCTAAATATACATTATCATACAAAGTTTTGATTTATTAATTTAGTTCGTCGCATGTGAAGATCGACGTTTGTCCCGGAGACGATCTTCAGACGTTCTATCCGTCTGAAGAAGACGGATAGAACGTGTCGGACGATCCAAACTCATTCAGACGAACTTAAAAGAGCCAGACGTCGAAATTTTCGTGAGCTTAACTCACTAAGTTTGGCTCGTCTCACTAAAAGTTCGACGTTTGGCGTAGGCCTCAAGGCTTTGATGGTAACAGTACTTCTTTTTTTTTTTGAAGGATTTGTCTAAGAAAGACTCCGCGTTGTTAAAACTTGGCCGTGAGTTGAAGGACTTGGAGACGGTTCAAGACAAGCTGGAGAAGAAAGAAGAGGAACTTAGATCTGAAAGGAACACGGTAATGGAAAAAAAAAAAGCTTTAAAATGTAATTTCATTGTAAACGAATTTGGCGTAGTTACCTTACGGGCCAAACAAGAGGAGCTACCTTAAACACCTTGTTATATAAATTATCTAACACACTACGCTCGTTTTTCGTTGAGCCCTTATTGTGTGAAGCTTGTAAATTTCTCGAAATACCGAAATAATCCACTCATTGCGAAGAAGAATTTTTCAGTCAGTGACACAAGGACTCGAAAGTAAAACTCCGAGTACTCCCCAATACTCGGATTTTTCCTCCGAGCCGCCTGTGTCGTTGACTGAAAAATCATCTTTCTCATGTATTCACCAGGCCTGATACGTTGGGGATTACTATGTAAGACACGTCGCAACTGAGAATTTCAACTGTGGCCAAGGAAAAGTAGATCTAGACAGTAAAATATTTTTGTCCTTTGCGGTAAAATTAAACATTTTGTCCGATTACATGTCGCACAAACGATTTGTAGCCACCTTAATTTTTTTCTTCCCTAGCACGCTCAAGAACGTTCTGAAGTGGAGAAACTGCGAGAAAGAGTTAAAACACTTCAAGAAAAATTAAGGCAACAAAAACAAAAGAGTACCGAGGAGGGTGTTGATGGGCCTGGTACTGAGAAACCCGTGGTTGAAGAAATCATCAAGGAAGACAGAGTAAGACTGGTTACTATATAACACCTTTTAAAGCAGATGTTCCAAAATGTTTATATCGTTGAGAAATTGAGGAGAACGTTAGATGAAGAGGCCTTCTTGTTTACGTTAGATTTACTAAATTCACCAGGATAAAAAACAAAATTCGAGGGAATTCTTTTCAACTGAACTGTTTAGACCTTTGATTGGGTTGTTTGTTCACCCATTTCAGGCTTTGCGACGTTTTAAAGTGAGTTTTGAGTTTTTTGTTTTGAATAGAATATTCTCGTATTGGCTTTACTTTTATTTCTCTCTGTTTTTGGGTGTGGTAATGTATAATAATGATTTAGAATTCAAAGAAAGGATAAAATTTTAAAACCACAACACATATATGTGAAAAAATGAAATATGAAAGAAACAGTTCTCTAAAGTAAGATTACGTCATCGTAATTTGCTAAACAAACAGCCCAAGAAAAAAGGTCCTCCATTTTGTATAAAACAGAAATGGCGATCACCAGGCGGTGTTGGACACGGTCCACGTGACCAATTTTGTCCAATCACGTCATTGCAGATGGCGGACCTCAAGTATCTGAAATGGTCGGCGGGCCCCAGCGGGCCCCGCCGTTTTAAGGGTCAAAATGCCACTTGAAGTTTACCTACGTGCGTGAATCGTGACTCCATTCCGCGGCATTATAAATATACTCGCGTGGTCACGATCGAATCGGCTTCGAAGACTTTCACTACACGATCAGCTTAGAATACTTTCTTTCTTTCCTTTTTTATTCGTCTTAAAAGATATGATATGTTTTTGTGATACATATGTTATCGAAGCAGCCCTTAAGGCCTCCTTTTTGAATAGTTCCTTGGCTTCTTCCTTCTGCTATTGTTTGCAAAGAGTTAAACCTGTGCGAGATTCTTCACGATCCCTAATAAATCATACAAAAAACAACGGACAAATAAAACTGAATTCATACGGACTAAAATGAATAGAAAACCTCCGCTAACTTGCTGTTGCCCTCAACAACAACAAGTTAGCGAAGGAGGATTCCACTTTTGCCTTGCGCTCCAGCTTCTTCTGGAAAACCAGAATAGGTTGCACATTATTTTCGATGAGAAGATCAGTATCCTTCATGCACTCGTCAATGTACCTGGAAAAAAATCTGAGGTGAGAAGAGCACTGAAGAGAAGCTTACGTTCAAAATCAAGCACTTTCACCACATGTAAGAACGAAGTGTTCTGAGTGTTGATACGTACCGCGTTGTTTCGATCCCTAAAATTATCTCTTCGACACAGAAAACAACAGTTTCGTGAAGCCAGCAGTAAACGTCGATTGCGGCCACCTTTCCGGAGAAAGATCTCAAATGAACATCGCATGTTATATCTTTTAAAAGCGGAAGAAGACCTGTAATGCCCATATCACACTATTTCTCCCGGTATTTTTATGGCGTAACGAGAGATGTGAACAGAGCGAAGGTCAGATGCAAATGAGCCATTTTTGATTTTTTCCCCATGATGGCCTTCGGACCGTGTCCAACACCGCCTGGGCGATCACGTTGAATATTCGGCCTTCAAGCCACACCGTCAACGTATTTTTTTTTTCAGGCAACTGTAGTGAGTGAGGGTGTGGCGCGTTGGGAAGATAACAAGAAATGGCAACAGAAAGTAGAAGCGCTGAGAAGTAAACTGGCCGAGAAAACACGGGAGCAAGAGAAAGCAGAAAAAACCATCGCCATGTTGAGAGAGGCTGTCAACAGAGCTGAAAAAGATAAGGCTGGGCTACATAGCAGGTTAAAAAGGTGCGTCTTGGACTTGTGTTTATTCTCATACAGGAAAACAAAGGCGATTTGTGTTGAATTGTGTGTTTTGGTGACTTACAAATCATGAGGAGACTTAACAGGGGTGACTTTATATAGTTAATGCCTGAGCTCGGAGGCCTTCTAGAAGCTATACGCGCTCGGTCATTATTTTTAAGATGGCCAATTAAGCTACTTTATGTTTTTCTTGTGATTGCAGCTCCTCCAAAGCTGTGGTCGGTGGTCCGCCGCTTGTTTCCAATGAAGTTGTACAGGATCTCAAGCACAACATATATAAGTTAGAAGAAGAGGTATAGTGAAATTTTCAGTTAAATATAAATACTTCTATAAAGAAGAGAGATTTTAAATGGCAAAAAACATTTTAGTCTGATTTGTGTTTTTTTCTGCCGTCTTAGAATCAGGAATTACGTCGGCAGAAAGTTCTGGGTCATGACAGACATATGGAGGCACTGGAACTGAAAAACAGACAGCTAGTTGATTACATTGAAGGCCTTGAGCGAGATCTTGCTGGTCGCATGGCGGAACAGGTTAGAGCCCTCCTCCTCAGTGTCGTAACTTGTTTTCTGTGCGGCTGGTGAGTCTACGAAACTCAGTTTCTGTACCTTATTGTAAACCATTGGGTTGGTCACAGAATCTGTAATGTATTACTTTACTTAGCGGTTTCTCTACGCTCCATGAACCCTTCATTTGCTCTCCAACAACCAGCCTGCGTGTCAGAGTACCAACACCTTGAACCAAGAGTATCTCCTTCCATTCTGTGTGGTATTTCGTGATTTCCACCAGAGGGGGGCGGTATGTAAGTCCGTGTATACAACAGGAGACCCACATAGACCACATAGCCAGAAAGAAGAAAACTGAGAATGGAGATTTACAAAATCCCCAAGTTTGGTGCTTATCTGGTCCATATTAAACGACCTATGTAAAAAATAGGGCTACGCAAAAGCTCCAAAATTTACTAAGAGATATATAGGCCTCTGGACGATCAATCCACATATCTCTTAGTAAATTTTCCAGTTTTTTTAAAAATTGAATAATATACAGCTATTTCAAAATAGCTGTATATTATTCAATATTGGCCCGATTAAGCTCGTGGTGGTTTTCCTGACTATGTGCGTCACATGCTATTTATAATATACGGATCTATAATACACGGACTCGTACCCAGCCCTCTTCGGTTTGTCCCGACTTTAGGCGGTCATGTTTAATGGTAATTTTCACAGAGGTGTCATGAAATAAAAGATGTTTTTGTTTGCTTCTTATCCAGCGTTCTGTGGACCAGGCTGACGCAGATATGTATCGCGAATTATACCAGAGAAACCAGTCTCTTCAGAAACAGCTCTTGGAAGCGAAGGAGGTGAGCTGACGCCGGTTTCTAGTCATTCGTACCTAACATCAAAAGTCGGTTAAACGTATTTTTAAAGGACTAGCTAGCTCATGCGTTAAAAGTCAGTTTCCACAGTTAGCTTACCTTTATAGAATTCATGTTCTTCTCTACATTCAGGAAAATATGGAGTTGCGTTTCGATTACGAGCAAGCTAGGAAGGAAAACCCGCGACTGAAGGTGGGCAAGATTTTCCTTTGAAACCTGATTTTAAGCCGAGATGAGTAGTCCATTGCAGTCGATATAACAGTTCACAAGGGCTGGCACAAAGTCAGAGGAATGTTAATCTCTAGCCCCCAGCTAACTCGATTGCTTTGTATTTACTGAATATAGAAGCTTATTCATGTGACGAAGATACATATATGTTTACAGCCGGCAATGTTTTGAGGTTCCTTACACATTACCACTTGCACTCTTACATGTATGAAACTAGTTTCTCGTTACCTTCGGCAAATGCTTTGATAAATAATAATTCGATAACCACCCTTATAAAATGTAACTTCATGAAAGGACAGTACATGGTTGGTTTTTGTAAAGTTATCCTGTTGTGATCCTAGGCTCGAGTCGAGGACTTGCAAGAGTATGTTGAGATTCTAAAAGCGGAACTCGACGCCAGCAAAAAGAGAGAAAAAGCTCGAAAGGTGATGAAATATATTTTAAGTTGTACTTTTCGTTTTTTAAAATGCCATTTGAGACACGATAAGGAGACTGGTGCCGATTTGCGTTCCGCAGTTGTTTCTGGCATCATTACTGGAGACGCGCCAGTTAACTATTGGCCAATTTTTTCCGCTGTCCTTTGTAAAGGTCCCAGAATTCTTTGCGAAAATTAAAGGAGCTGTGTCACGAAATTCAGCCAAATTAGGAAATCACAAAATGCCCGTTAAATTAAAAGAAACTTAAAAATAACCGCTTAAAACTTTAAAGGAAGGTTAAAACAACATAACAGAAACAACACATGCCTCGGATGGGCAAAACTGAAGAAGATTGAAACGGATTGAAATTAGGGTTTTTGAAAACTTGTCCGCCTAACAGTTTTTCAAAGTTAGTCCCTGCTGCTTGCAACTTCAAACATAATGCTCAGGAGACATATTTGCTTGTCTCGGATCTCTGATTTTGTCATTTACATGTAATTTCTTTGCTTACTTTAAGTTCCATAGCGATTGAGGGCGAGTAATTGGCAAAATGAAACAAAATGACCCGGACTGCCGTGACACGGCCCCTTTAACTCAGCCCATTTTTCCCCCCGGTTCTTAAGTGGAGAATAGACCTTTTCCTGCATTCCTGTAAACAAAGGCACCAACTCGAGGCTTGGGTAGATAAAATTCACTGATTTGTATGAAACTGTCCACCCGAGCGTCAACCTCATTTCTTTATGTTTGCTCACTGGAGTGGAATGCGGGAAAGGTCTATCGCTATATTTTGTTTGTTCAGCCAAAGTGTGGTTTTATTTCAGCCCAACTTGGGCAACTCTCTTGACTGATACAGTGCTTTTATCTCTTCAGAAGAGCCTGGGTACTGGCATGGGTGGTCAGAGCGTGGAGGACCTGGAGCGAGTGATTGCTGCCATGAGGCGAGTGGTGGAAAGGCTTCAAGGTGAAAATGATCAGTTGA